GGATCTTCTTATAAAAATAGGTGAGGCCTCATAGACATATACGTACCAACATATCCCATTTAGCCATGACGACCAAGCAAAATAATAAGTCATATGTACACTCCTAGCTTTGAGTATGATCATTATGACAATATTTATCATGAGATTTTTCTCATACTTTCTTGAATATGCTTCTTATAACAAAGTTCATAATTTCTTAATGAGGATTTTAAGGCCAATGTTTGTCACTCATGGAAACCAACTAATTTAAGTATTTCTAAGTCTCATTAAGCTAGTGTACTTAGAAAATAGTTTCACACTATGACCATTTGTCAATGGGTCAACAATCATATTAGACGATGACAAGTAACTATGGTTACTTTATTTTTCTCAACTACATTCTGAATGTAGTGATATTATATATGTATGTATCTTCTTTTAGAGATATTTGATCTAATTTGTATTAGTTTTTATCACAAAACATTTAAATTAGCATGTCGATTATTTGCAGCTTCTAGTCATCTATAGAATGCTTTATTCAGATGGCATAAGTATAAGCAATATTACATACAATATACTCAGCTTCCTATGTGTATCAAGCCACACACCTTGTTTCTTGCTAGACCAAGAAACAACTACATCTCCAAAGAGAAAAAAACATGTATTGAGATGGACTTACTATTATCTTTATCCCTAGCAAAATTTGCATCTAAATATTCTCAAACTTCAAGCTTATTTGCTGGAAAACACAATTTAAGATGTTTAGCCACCTTAATGTACTTTAGAATTCTTTTGATTGCTTTCCAATGGGTTATGATTGGATTACTTTGATATTTACTTGCAAGACCTACAACATAACTCAAATCTGGTCTTGTATATTGTACTGCATATACTAAGCTACCAATAGCTTGTGCATAAGAAACATTAAGTTTTTCTTGTCCTTATATTAGACAATCCTTCTTACATTACTTTGTTCCCTTTTAAACAGGAGTGTACAATGATTTACAATTTTCCATTTTAAGTCTCTTAAGAATAGAGTCAAGATAACTCGATTGGCTCATCACAACATTCTGAATTTTATATCTCTAGTTATTTTTATGCTTAGGATATAAGGTGCCTTTTTTCAAATCGAGAAAAAAGGCATGACTTATTCTTACCAATCATTTGCAAGTTATTTCTAGCTAATAGGATATCATCTACATATAATGAAAGAAATGCGAATTTACTCTTACTTTTTAAGACATACATACAATGGTCCAATGTATTTAATCCTTATCCCATTTGTAGGATAGCATCATCAAATATTAAGTTCCTTTGTCTTGAATATTATTTTGAACCATATAAATACTTATTTAATTTATATACTTTATTTTCTTTGCCCTTAATTATGAAGCCCTTAGGTTGCTTCATACAAACAGTTTCCTTTGGTTTGCAATTCAATAATGGCATCTTTACATCTATTTTGTAAAATTCTAAGCCATAATAAACAACAATTGCTTCTAATAAATATGAAGGATGCAACTAAGGA